TCACTGCTTTTGTGCGTGTGGCGATGTTTGCTGTTGCGGAGGGTGTCGTTTGCTGTTGTGGAGGGCCTCTTCATTGCAACAGCTCCGTAATGAAGCAACGACTGTTGGTGTAATTTGAGAACCCTTTGATACGTCACCCCTATCATGATTTTCTCTCCATTCAAGAAGAAGAGGAGGAGGAAAAAGCGAAATTTGTTCAACATCTTGCCCCCTTCAAAGAAGGAACTACGAGACACTCTGCTGCAGACATACTCCGCATCAACGACAAGAAATCCATCGAAACTACCCATTCTAATCTGGATGAATAATTACAAGAATCTTGAGGAGAATTGGATCCGTGATCTAATAGGCCAGGAACAAGCTTCAACTCTGAATTCATTGTTGTTGTGCTTGCTTTATTGCTTCTTTATCGGCCGGATAGACAATGTATTTGAAAGCAGCGTGGGGAAAGAAAAAAAGTATTGTAAAGTGAAGTATATCCGATTCCTACACCAAGAATTCCAAAAACAATTGTCCAATTGCGTCCGACTGATAGATGGTGACAAAAGGCAAAAATTGTCCATTACAAGTGAAATGGTTGTAGAGTTTATCTCTTCTATCGAAGAATGTTCTAGCAATTTTGTTTGGTCAAAGAAGAATAAAGTTTGTCCTCTTGACTCCTTCCTGTCAAAACAGAACTCAAGTGCTGGACCTGGGTGGTTACGAATCCTTTTATTCCAACATGAAGGAGATATGAAGCCCTATAAAGATCGATGTTATATAGTTCTTATTCTCTATACCATCATCCGGGCATTCTGTGGAAATAGTGCTGTACTATGTGTTGCACTTGGAAAGAAAGGATCAAAGAATGATTTGCAGTGGCTCCGATTGCTTGCAAATGATATGGTTTGGACTATTCTTCCATCGTCGATTGCAATACAAAGTGGCGATGGAGAAAGTAGTAGAAAGAAGTCATCTCCAGCATTGAAGAGTAGTGCAACAGTTCCCACAGCTTCAGTTTCTGCTGAAGAGTTATTGACTTCCGTACAAGACTCTATTATCTCTCCAAGAATTGTGCCTATAGCTGTTTCTTTTGAAGAGGAAAAGGAGAACAGGACTTCCCCATTGACTGTCAGCAGCGATTCACCTGTTCTTGATATGGTAGAAGCACCATTAGAATCAACACCACCAAATTCTGAACAAAGTTTCTCGGCAGTGCAGGAGACTCCTCTTTCTTCAGGGCAACCAACACCAGCAGAAACACCAGGAACGCAAGTAAAAAAGAGAGTTTGTCTTGGTCCAACTCCTGTGTTATCCCCTGTTCTCAGAAGAGCTCTGTTTATACCTCCTTCTAACCAAAACAAAACACCGGAACAAACCAACGATGATCTCTCACCAGAGTGCAGTCACTTCAAGCATGCTATAAGCACTGCTCAAAATGACAAAGATCTTGAAAGAAGAGCCCTCGAGTTTGTTTGCCTCCGTGCTGCTGATAATGGCAACCTGCTAGATAAAAGGATCTATGCGCTCCCATCACGGTCGGTGTGCGCAAACACAAGTGGAAGGAACCGTCGCAAGTTTGTGAACAAGGCAGCAGCGTCTGTGATGGATTTTATTCAAAGTACTGTAAGTGGTGCTGCAAGTGATACAGATTTGCAGAAAACGGTGCTTGAGAGGGTTATTAAGAGCAAGTTTGATTCGATTGTGTGTAGTGAACCAAAGGCGCAAATTTCTTCAATGGAAGTACTTGAAATTTGGAATCGATCTGGATGGAATGTATCGACATCAGTTGTTACTTCTATAGTGACAGATGTTTTGACCCTACTCAAGAAGAAGAAGATGTTGATATCGGCTGAGAAGGCTCTTGAAGGACAGCTTAAAAAGAAGATTGGTTTACTTGAACGTGTTAGCGCTGTTCCTTCAAAATTCAAGTATGTTGAGTGTTGTGTAACAAAAGAGGATGTGGAAAGATGTGTTTATTATTACATCGAGAATGTACCATTGCTCATGGAAAGGCTTGTGTCGGGCTGTGTTTTAGAGGGAGAGATGGAAGACTCATTGGCGTTCTCAAAGTTCAAGAACAAGGTAATCTTTCAATTTGGAGCTGATCGAGGGGGAAGTGATCTCATAATGATGATTTCTCTTGCAAACAGAAAGAAAGGCAATCACGGACGCTTCTCAATTCCTATCAGTGTTGTGGAGGGAGCAACAGAAGTATACTCAAACCTGGAGAAAACTTTGTATTCCCCTAATCGAAAAGCCATCCTTGAGCAACTTGTTAATCAACAGCTTTTTATGATTAGAATTCAATTCTTCTCAAAGAATGATACTTCTGCGGCTGCACAAGATGTGAAGTGTTTGTTGCTACAATTTGTCGGCAGGGCGAAGAGGCAGGACTTGTCATCGACAAAGATTGTTTGTACTATTGGTGGTATTGAGTATCTTGGTATACCACACACACAAATGCCCCTATGGAAATCGAGAGCGCTAGGACGCGTTATTGCTGATGACGCTTTCATCAATCAGGACCTATGTTTTCTGACATCCAATGGTGAACTACACCTGAAAGTACGGCTACTTCAATCACAGCACCATTTTATTGGTTGTAGGGTACAAATTGCAGCAACAATGGAAGAAATATTCTCTTTTGAATTTGATCAAGGTGTGAATACAGAAGACATAGATCTAAACAGTTCTATGGTAGATTGCCTGCAATTGATTGGTGTGCCATGCGAAGATGGCAAAATGTGCACCACCGTGTATGGCCTTTCAACTTGTGGCTCTTCTTACCCCTGCCCCAAGTGTCTATGGCCACTGCGTGAAGTATTTGTCCCAACTTGGGTAAGAGACCATATTGCAGAAGAAAGCAACACCGATACAGCAGATGCCGTAGTATCGACAAAAGATTATACAGAAAGAACAGGGAAATACAGTCGGAATGAGTCCTATTATCATTTTTCAGCACTTGCTGGTGATATGACTTGCGATCCGACACTCAAGCTGAAAAAGGATGTGTTTAGTGTTATCTACAAGCTGTTATTGCACATTGATGATGACCTCCTATATCTTCACACCGGTGATCCAATGCATGTGTCACAAGGGCTGATGACTCATTTGACAGAAGAAACTGCCATCCAGCTCCAGAAAGCAACGGAAGAATCAGCAACAGAATCTGAACCAGAATTCATAAAGGACCAAACAACAAAAGTGAAAGCTTTCATTGAGGTAATGGGATCTCGGGCAAGCTCCTTGAATTACCAGCATGCACAGAACCGATACAAGGAAGAAGATTGTTTGGTAAAGTTGGCATTTGAGAACCTGTGTGCAGCTGAAGATGAGGATGACACCAACAGATGTTACGTAGCTTATACAGAAGCAGTTATGAGAAGAGATGAAGTAGGGGAAGAACTTGGCTACCAGGAAACATTGCGCAAACTCAATGGAGCCGATGAGTTGAAGTCGCTTTTGCAAACTTTCGAAAGAAGCAAGAAGAAGAATTTTACAAAGGCTGTATTTCTTTTCATGAAAGCAATTAAGACCTTTGCTGGTGATTTCAATAAGAATCATGGCCAGTGCGAGCTAACAAATGCTCGAGGGATCAAGGCACTTCAAAGCAATGAGGAAATATATAACGTTGTAATCAATGGATCAATGGATGCAATGATCCTGTTGTGCTTGAGATTATGGCTTGGTGGCACAGGTCTGCCAAGCTCCTCTTGCAGATTTCGTCCGCTTTAAAATCCCAGGACATGCAGTGCAATGCAGATATCCTCAAACTAAAAGAAAATGTTGCGAACTTTGTGCAGCAATGGATACAGCGCCTAGGAATGTATGAAAAGAAGAATCCAATCTACTGGAAGATGCATATGCTACTATGTGCTTTGATTCGCTTTATTGAGAAGACAGGCATGAGTGGACGTTGCTCAACGGAAGGCTTTGAAAACAAACATCATGTCATGAATCAAATTAAAAGACTCATGGCACCAATTGCCCAAGACAAACTTCGATGTGAAAAGTTGTCACAGCGCCAGCAGTCTTGTCTTATCCCAGGTATCGAAGAAGTACATTGCCTTTTTGAAGAGGAAGACTATAAAAGACGCAGAAGTCCTCGGGGACGATACAATTCATTTGGAACAAGAACAAAACTCTTAGAGGATCTTCCCATCGACGATGAAACTGATCTTGAGGCCGGCGAAGCTGTGGAGGGGTACTTTGATTCAAAAAAGAACAATTTGATTCCAAATGAACTGCAGGATGTGTATAATTACATGCTCCTCGGCAAGGTCCCAGATGGTTGGTCAAAAACCTTCATTGACAGTGAATTCCTTGGATCGAAGGCATCCAACTCTGCCCGGTACATCCCTCCGTAACATTCTTGTTGTTGTTGGTAATTTGACAACGGCGACAACAACAACAAGCAGCAGAAAGACTTCACCAATATATGGTTCTACCTTATTTTGCGATGCCGGGTAGCGGCACTGTCGATAACTATTAGAGTATTCACGAGTTGCACCACACAGTGTTATCAGCGTCGACAACCGAAACGGAGGGGAGTAACTGTACTCGTACCGATACTGGTGTAAATCAAAGCAAAAAATCAAGCAAAAATTCATTCCTGGTACAAATCTGCCGTAGGATTCTACACTGAAATTAGCTTTCAAGGGGGTACACTGTACAGTTTTCGATAATTTTGATCTGTCTAATTAGCCAATCAGATTGCTGGATTCCTAACTCTAAATTAACGCCAAAATCGCTCTAAAACCCCACCGTGAACACCTGTGGTACGAACTTTGTACGTACGTTACTCTAGGTACCGTACTGTAGAGTACGTACGATGTGACACCACACATTTTCACGGCAGGTCACCCGGGACCGGTTTCGGAACAGAACGACTCTCCTCCACCTACCGGTAGGTACGATACTTGGTACCATACGTACTAACTACCCGTACCGTATTTTTCAATTGTTTCGATCGGTTGTCGTCGCGAGACTGGGCCCAATCCTCTTGAAACACGCTAGCACGCTCTCTTCCCCCCAGAAAAATCACAAAACCAAACAACGACAACAACAACAACAAAAAACAGCCAATACATCGGAGGAATCCATCACAACCAAAGCAAGCCACACCGCACCATCCTCGGCACGAAGGCCCTTGCTTGCGGCAGGGCATCGCAGCACAGGAGCATCCCGACGTGGTTCGAGGCACCAACCAACACCAGCGATGCCCCGCTTCGGCTTGCCGGGGGCGGCACGGCGCGAAGGGGAATGGAGCAGCAGCATCGGCAGCAGCGACGACTCCGACAGCGGAGGGGAAGAAGAACCCCCCCATCCCATCGGGTTCGGGAGCCCCCTTCCCGGGGGGAGTTCCTCCCCGTGGGGAACGACGTGGTTTTCCCTGGATCCCCCCCCGCGGGGGGCAGCGAGCGGGCGATCCTCCTACGGGTGGGACGACTCCGAGGGCCTCCCGGTCCAGTCGTATCCGCCGCTCTCGGCCTATCTTCCTTCGAATCGGATGCCGACGATCGCCTTGCTTCGGTGGGGCAAGGACCGCGGGCCTTTCCGAAGCGGCGGCGACGACGACCTGTGCTACAGCGGGGACGAGGACGACGACGAGGACGACGCCCGCGATTGCGGGGCCCGCGGAAGGGCCGCTCGCCCGGCCCCCCGGGAGGCCTGGGCCGCGCCCCCGGACACCGAGCGTGAGATCTCGGGGCGGGTCGAGGCCGTGCGAAGGCGGGTCGACGAGGAGTGCCGGAGGGCCGAGGAACTACTCGGCGAGCTCGTTGCACGGAGCCACCGAGAGGCGGACGCCATCCTCGAGAGGCGGCGGGCCGAGGAGGAACGGCTGCGGAAGGCCCGGGAAGCCGAGGACGACCGGCTCCGAGCGGTCCGAGAAGCCGCGGCCGAGCGGGACCGGGCGGAACAAGAACGGGCGGCGGCGGTTCTCGAGCGGGAAACCGAGAAGGAGCAGGCCGCCACGAGGGACCGGGAGGCCCGGGCGGCAGAGACCGAGCGGCGACGCAGAGAACGGGAAGCCGCGGCAAAGAAAGCGACCGAATACATCGACAAGGCAAAGAAGCTGGTCGGGCAGCTGGTCCAGGTGAGGGCATCGGTAGAACCCTTCGAGAAGAACAAGACCGTTGGAAAGCGGCGGCTCGGAATGAAAAAGATGGCCAACGGAAAGGTCAACACGCTGAACGACAATCCTTCCAAGATCCGGGAGGTTGCAACCCAAATCTCCACAGCGATTGCCGCGTACGAACAAGAAGATGGACAGATCAAAACACAATTGCAGCAAGGTGCTCCCGGGCTGACATCCGACATGGCGGTTGGAAGGCGATATTTTGTGGACCTGCTCGCGTCGACGGCCATGAAACGCGTCCAAGCCGAGTCCTTTGGAGGAACCAAGGGAGATGGGTTTCCCTTGGCGGCAATGCTTGCGATGGTATCGGTGGAAAGCAAACAGATCATATCCGTCCTGGCCGCACACATATACACAGTGTGTCCTGTGGCCATCCCCACGCTTCCGGCACCCAGGGATAATGCCAGCGAAGACGACCTGATGATCGGCCTCGGGATGCAGAGAAACCAAAAGACCGGTGAATTCGAGACGTTCCCACGGTTTTTGGCACGGACGGAAAACATTGTATCGTTCGTGGCCGCTCTCCAATCGTCTCTGCCGAGCTCCCACCAGCTGATGGGCGGACACGCCGGAGCTATGTTGTGGCTGAAGCGATTCATCGATCTTCTGCCACTGCCACCAACATCGCCGCTTCCGCTCACGACGGCACCCGTGCTGGGGGCCTTTTTGACGGTTGCGGGGCACATGATGGCCAACGCCCACGCCGACGACTTCAGAACGATGCTCGCCACCATCCAGAACGACGTCATGAATCGCCTGGACGAAGGAGAGCTCGGAAAGCCGTCCGCGATTCGATTGGGAAAGGTTGTCGAGGGAGGATTCGATTCCTTCCGAAAGAATCTGCCTCCCAAGGCCGTTCCGGAGCTGTACTACGGAGCGTCGGAACATTCCCACAAGAAGGAAGGCGTCGTCTCGTTCGGAGGAACAATAGGTGGGGAGGAGGACGTTCAACCCAAAAAGCCACAGGGGATGCAGCAGCAGCCGCCGCCACAAAACCCGTTTGGCGGCGGAGTTTCGTTTGGCGGACCAAGTAGCACAGGCGGCGGGAACCCTAATACGTTTAGCGGCGGCGGTGGCGCGGCAGCCTCTTCCTCGCCGTTTGGCGGTGGCGGAATGGCGGCCTCTCCCTCGCCGTTTGGCGGCGGTGCGGCACCGTCGCCCTCGCCGTTTGGTGGGGGCAACGCCGGTGCAAACCAGTCTCCGTTTGGTAGCGGAAGTGCCGCGGGGCTGTCTCCATCCCCGTTTGGAGGTGGTGGCGGCGGCGGCATGGCACCGTCTCCCTCGCCGTTTGGAGGTGGCATGGCACCGTCTCCCTCGCCGTTTGGTGGAGGTGGCATGGCACCATCTCCCTCACCGTTCGCAGGAGGCACGGCACCGTCTCCCTCGCCGTTTGGTGGAGGCGCGGGACCGTCTCCTTCACCGTTCGGAAGAGGCAACACGAATGCCAATCCTTCTCCCTTTGGGGGTGGTGGCATGGCACCGTCTCCGTCGCCGTTTGGGAGTGGTGGAATGGCACCATCCCCGTCGCCGTTCGGTTCGAGTAATAGAGCTCCGAGCCCATCCCCATTTGGTGGCAACACCTCGTCTTCGCCATTTGGAAGAGGCAATCAGATGCAGCAAAATTCGCCATTTGGTGGACGAAATGCAAAGAAGAAAGGCCCGTGTAGGTTCTTTGCCCAAGGCAAATGCAAAAAGGGCGACAACTGTGAATATTCTCACGAGTCCGGAGGGGGAAACAGTGGCTTTGGAGGGGGTTTCCAACAAAACAACCACGGCAGCAGTGGGCAAGGATTCCAGCAAAACTATAATAACAACAATAAAGTCGGAAAGAAAGGTCCTTGCAGATTCTTTGCCATGGGCAAGTGCAAGAAAGGCAAAAATTGCCCATATTTGCACGAGACAGGGGGTGACAGTGGAAACAATGGCTTTGGAGGAGGCAATCAAGGATTTCAATCCAACAACAACTGGAATAGCTTTGGAAGAAGAAGGCGATGATTTTGGCCAAAAATGCTTTTTAAATGAACTAGGAAGACAATCTTATCAGATAAAGAGAACTTATTCTAAAGTGTGGTCGCAACGAATCGCTAATCTTGTCATATTCTACTTGCAATCGCGTTGAGTTTCTTAAATGGCTGGTGCGCTCCATCGGCATTTTGTATCCCAACCACTGCAATCTTGATGCTTTTCCCGATAGCTTTGCCTAGTGATCGTTTTGTGAATTCAAAAAATAGAGGAACTCCTTCGCTTTTGGCAAGGTCAATAATTTCTTGTAGCTTCTCGTCGATGACCCCGTACTCGTCTAAATTGTTTGCCATTACCACCATTTTTACTGTGGAATTCAGTGTCGAAAGAAAAAGAACTTTTAGTCAAGGATACAGCACGAAGTGAAGCATCTGGGCGTTCATTCCAGCTGCGGGCTTACCTTTGTGCGCTCGGATACCCCTGGCGACTTCTCGAAGTCCCATCACCATCCGTCTTCGTGCCTTTGCATTTTTGTCTTCGACCGCTCTCTTTTGCAATCTCATCAGCTCTCCAAGCATTTCGGACAAGAGCGGCTTGACACGCTCGTCTTTGATTTCGCTAGCATATTCTCTCGGGCCCTTGTTCGGTATCTTGGGCACCCGCTTCATCTCCGCAAAGCGCTCCGAAATCAGCTTGTCGCCAGAGTAGAGAGGCGCCTTGTCATCTGTCCTTGCCTTCTTGTCGGAAGGATTCCTTGTTGCGGATTCCGGCTTTCGTTTGTCTCCGGGTTGTTCGCAAACACTCTTCGATCMCGACGTTCCCGAATCGCTGCTAGAAAGAGATGCATCGATTATCTGTCCACCAATCACCATATTGCCAAAGCCTTTCACAGCATCAGCTGCAACCGAAATATCGTCCCCAAATCTTATTCGCACAAAAGGATTGCTATCTTTGTCCAATACTTCGACGCCGACAACTTCGCCGTACCTGGAAGCAAGTTCACGAACATCGCTAAGGCTTTCTTCMATGCAATCCTCGTCCTCCAGGTCGTCTTCGGTTACGAGGTTGTACAAATTGATCGAATTTTCAAGCCCGGAATCGTTCCTCCCCGAATCTTTGTCGACCTGCAGAGATGCTTTGAGTACAATTCCACCGAGAACTATTCCGTTCAGTTCACTTGTCGCTTTCTTGGCAACGTGAACGCTTTCGTTGTACTTCACTTTGACCCCGGTACCCTTTACGGCAACGTCAGAAACATCACCGTAACGCATGCAAAGCTCCCTGATGTCATTGAGACTTTCTTGTAGACATTCACTGTCATCCAGATCATCCTGTGTCAGAATATTTTCGAGCAATACAACCGTTGGGGATCCAGCCCTGTCAGACGTTGCAACAAGCTCCTCGCTGACCGAAGCATATAGTGGCTCGCCGCCCACTACCACTCTACAAAGATTTTCTGCGATTTTTCGAGCCTCAACTAAAGAACATTTATAGGTCAGCGTGACATCTCCGTTCTTGGTTGAACTGGCTTGGATATTCTGAACAGCTCCGAGCTGCGCAGCGATGTTCCTCAGATCGTCGAGACTCTCGTTCATGCAATCCTCGTCTTCGAAGTCATCATCAGTCAAAATCTTTTGAAGAATGATATCAATTGCACTCGAGTCTCTTTCGCTCTCTACATTATCGAGTTCTTTGCGCCGTTTTGTCTCCGCGGCAAGAGCTCTTGTGGACCAAACAACGTTTCTGTCATCGGACGGTACGGAAACGCCGAACACTCCGAGCTCATTCCCTCCAATGACCAAGCCGGACCAACACGCCAGCGCGGCAGCAGCATCGGACTCTTTCTGAAATTTGACGAAAGAAGGATGCTTGTTGTTCTGCTTGTTGTCGTTGCCGGCGCCGTCCTGATTTATCTCATCCCCGAAAACAGAGCTGCGGGGAATGAAGACATCGTCGATAGGCCCAATCTTCAATGCCATCCCTTTTAAATTACCCATTATTTCTTCGTATTCGTCGTCGTCTTCCAATTCCTCTGGAACTGCATAGTTGTATATGCACAGCGAGCACGTTGGAAGTGAACTTTTGCACCCTTTGCTTGGTATCGTGCTTGTAGTCCTAACGGTCCCACCGTCGTGATTGCCTTGCCGAGGACCCGTCGACGCTTCTGGATGAAGCGCCCTCCATTGATCCAGTCGTTCCTGTAATACCTTCTTTTTTAGTGCAGTGAATTTCTTTTTGCGCGGAGCGACTCGCTGCCGGCCCTTCTTCTGGTACACGGTTCGCTCTTTCATGAGACGCAAGAGCTGATGTTCTTCCCCGTCCATCCCTCGGCTGCTGCCACCACCCACAGCGCCAGCAGCGCAAGCGGTGTCTCCGCCCACACTAGCGCGCGCTAGGGGCTGAAAAAACGACGATACAGATGAGGATGGGATGCKGTTTGGTTTTGACGACGACAGTGAGGACTCGTCTCTCTGGAGCGCCTTCTTTTTCTTGCTGCTCTTTTGAGTTCCGATCGCATTCCCCTTTTGCAATTGGTTTTCGCACTTTAGAATTCTGGGTTGTGGCTGGGTATTATTCTTCTGCGGTTTCTGTTTTAAGGATTGAGTAGACACCGCAGTGGTTAGCGTGGTCGAGTTCGAAATGTTGAATTTACTGCCTGTCTTCTGTAACATGGTCGGAGGTGGAGGCGGCTTCGGGACAGCTCCCCATCCTCGTCTTGTGGCGACAACATCGGTAGAACGGGAAGGAATAGGAGTCGATGATGATTGATTACTGGTTCCAAGAGCCGGAAAGTCCTGATCGCTGTTCATTTGAAGATCCAGTCGTCGATGTGGGTTTCTTGGTGGCAAATTTTGTTTAGGATACKGATGCTGTCGCTGCTGCTGTTGATGAACTGGTTTCTTCTTTTCATCGTTGAAGTTTTTCTTTTTGTTACCGGGAATCATATCTCTTATGGTTGATGTTTTGGGTTTGGGCTTTGGTCTCTTACTTTCACAATTATTGTTGACGATGTTCTTTTGAAACTTCATTTTGTTGTTGTTGTTGTTGTTGTTGTGTTTGTTGCCTGGTTTGGCCTTATTCTTCGAGTGTTGCTGTGGCTGCTGCTTCTGGTGCCAGGACCTATCCGTACCACTTTTCGACTGCGACTGCGACTGCAAGTTCCGATGATGCGTTGATCGATCCGGAACATGCTTCGTAGAAGACGACGATGAATTTCGTTTTGCAACGACGACATTCCATGTAGACACATCATCGTTGCCAGAAGCAGTATGTTTTTGTGAGAGTTCTTTATTGTTGCTGGATGTGGACGTCTGTTGTGTCATACTTTGGGTGGCAGAAGCAAATTTATTGTCGTTTGTTTCTCTGTTTGCCGCAGATATTGTAAGATTGGATGACATCGTCCCTAATCTTAACTTAGCGATCACAACTGGTGTTGGCAGTTCGTGCTTTGATGAACAAATAAATGAAAATCTTCCTGAAGTAAAATTTTTGATCAAGTTGACTAAGTGCAGTCGTTCCTCACTGCTCTTAGCCTGAGTTATTGTAGCCTTGTCTCTCCTTTGTCGGTATTGCTTTTCTAGATTCTTGCCACGGGACATTCTGGGCCTCTTAGTAATACTACCTCCGTTCCAAAATACTGGTACACTTTGCACCTCTCTGGTTGGAATAAGCTCAATATTTGGGCGATTGGAATGCTTGTTTTTACACTAGACAGATCTATTGCAGTAGTATACACTTGTCTTAATTGCAATAAGTTTATAGCATTGGTGCACTCTTTATAGCTATTCAAAGAGGCCCTATTTTGGCATATTAATGTGATTTTACCGTCAGTTGGGTTCTACTGGTCCCTTAAGGACCGGACTGGTTTATTTGAAAAGCCCAGACTCAGAGCTTTATCATGGTATACTTATTGTACTTATTGACAATGTTTCATGCAGTCTTTAGAGGGTCACTAGACAGAGCAAAAAACTGCTCGGGCCTATTCGGGCCTGTGCAGTTTTTTTTCAATTTTGAGATGGAGAACCGCTTCGAAGAGAAAAAAAAGTGCTGTGCGCATGGTCGAAAAATGCTCCCTGTGTTATTTTCACGTGTTATTTTTCACTTTTGATTTCACAACACTTCCCGATTTCCTCTTTTCTACGCTCTTCTCATTCTCATTCTCTTCTTTTCCACTCAACTGCCTAAGAGCGGCTTCTTTGCTATTCAAGCCTTCTTTGCACCTCAAGTGACTCATCGACGTTGAGCCTACGCGCCTCCACTACTACACGCCTTCACGGAGCACCTCCACTGAGGGGGGGAAGACCGACTCGCCTCGCGTCTCTGTTGCTCCTTCCACTAAGAGGCTCCAGCCAACGCGTCTCCGTTGCTTGCACTCCCCGCGTCTCCGTTGCTTCCACTAAGAGGGGATTGCGTGTCCGTTGCTTCCACTAAGAGGCAGGGGAGAGGGCCTTGCGTGACCGTTGTTTCCACTAAGAGCGCCAGTGCCACTAAGAGCGCCAGTGGGGGGGGAAACGCCTCCATTTAAACGCCTCCGTTGCTTCCACTAAAGGGGAACGCCTCCGTTGCTTCCACTAAAGGGGATCCATCGACCGGTCCGCGTCTCCGTTGAGCCGACGCGCCTCCACTAAGAGGGAATCAGCGCTTCTCCCGCCTCTGTTAAGAGGGGGAAAGACCGACTCACGTCTCCAGCATTGCTTCCACTAAGAGGGAATCGCCGCGGGAAGCAAAGCCTCGCACCGATGCGGGAAGCGAAGCCTAGCCTCTGCACCTCCGCTGCTTCCACTAAGAGGGGACTACGACAATCAACCTGCTATGATCTCTTTGTTGCTGCTTGTTGTGCTTCTTTTTTCCATACTTTCATCCACTCACTTTATTGAATGCTGCTCTTTTCTAAAGCAAACGGACACCACGATGGCTACGGGAATAGATGCAATAGATCTCGCAATGGATCTCCTTCAACCAACTGAGCTGCTACCTCCTCCTGCGGCTGTTACTCCTCCTCCAAAAAGGCGTGAGTTGACTAACAATCAAAAACAGGCTATTCTACACAGACTGCTTCCGCATCAGAAACAAAACGGCAAACTTGCTAAGGGTGCCTACAAGAATGCTGCTGTTGCATTCAAAGTTTCCCCTAGGACTTGTGCAAAAATTTGGAAACGATACAAGGAAACTCAAGATGATGATACATGCCCAGCTGGTGATGTGTCAAGCAACAAGAAGTCCAAGTGTGGTAGGAAGCCAAGGGACTCTGCAGTTCTTCTTGAATCAATGAGGGATATTCCGTACAAGCAAAGAGGAGATCTAAGGACCTTATCCGCGGCAATCAACATTCCAATCACCAGCCTGCACCATCTTGTTAAACGTGGAGCAATCAAGAGATACAGCTGTACCTTGAAGCCTTTCCTGAAAGAAGCCAACAAGATGGAAAGAATTCGATTTGCTCTGTCTCATATTGATCACAACGGTGTCTTTGATCCAATGTATGACAAGGTTCATGTTGAWGAGAAATGGTTCTTCATGAAGGAAGTTACAAGCAACACTTATCTACTTGATGAAGAGCTTGAACCAGTTGGGAAGACACCGTCAAAGCAGCATATCAAGAAGGTGATGTTTCTATGTGCAACAGCAAGGCCCAGATTTGATCATGGTAGAAATGCTTGGTTTGATGGTAAGCTTGGTATCTGGCCTATTGTTGAGTATAGACCAGCGTAGAGATCTTCTGTGAACAGACCTCGAGGTACGATTGAACCCCACCCAGTTAACATCAATGAAGAAGTGTACAGGAAGCTCATGATCAAAAAAGTTCTACCAGCTATTTACGAGAAGTTCCCCAGAGACAACGGTGTTATTCCAAGTTGTGTTATTCAGGAAGACAATGCTAAACCTCATACACTGAACACCAGAGCAGCTGTGACAGCTGCGGCTCGCGAGAGGAACTGGAATGTTGTTGTGAAGCCCCAGCCTCCTAACAGTCCTGACTTTAATGTTCTTGATTTGGGTTTCTTCAATTCTATTTAGAGCCTTCAGCACAAGAAGTGGTCTTCGAATATGGATACATTGATCGCCACCAACGTGATTGCTGCGTTTGAAGAATCCAAACATGAGACTCTAAACATTGATCGCCACCAACGTGATTGCTGCGTTTGAAGNGCCACCAACGTGATTGCTGCGTTTGAAGAATCCAAACATGAGACTCTAAACATTGATCGCCACCAACGTGATTGCTGCGTTTGAAGAATCCAAACGTGAGACTCTAAACAAGGTATTTTTGACACTACAGTGTGCAATGGAGGAGTCACTTGGTGTTGGTGGTGACAACACTTACAAGATTCCACACCTTGGGAAAGATAAGCTTACACGTCAAGGGGACGAGCTTCCAGTACTATCGATCATTTGCAACCAAGAAAAGATTGCCTTTGCACGTTCAGTACTGGCAGACTTCAACAATAGTAATACCAATACTACTATTGCTGATGCTGGTAGTAACTAATAATAATAGTAATAGTTCTGTTTAATGTGAATGATAAAACTGTACTTGTAGTAGTAATTGTACAGGGTTATGCAAAGTGTACCAGTATTATGGAAAAAATAGAGTAGTGCAAAGTGTACCAGTATTTTGGAACGGAGGTAGTAGTACCGTATGATTGTACTTCTGGGGTCCGGTATTCTATAGATCTAAATGGTCAGGAATTCGACCTTTCGTAGTGTTTGCCGAAATTAGGATTTGACTAATGTGATTAGATCTATGTGTAGTGAAATGTGTAATGGTCTTGAGGTATCGAGGTGGCGTTATGGCGCTGTTGACCTATTACTGTTTTGCGACTGGTTTTCCTCCATTGGAACACCTACTTGTTTGGTGGTAGGCCCATTGTGTTCAGCGTCTCTGTGGGAATGTGGGGTGTCAGCCCTAGTTCCGGGGTGCAGAGTCATTGGAGGTGTCGCTGCCCGAGCGGGGTTTCTGAGTGGGGCGGCGGCAGAGTTCGTATGCCGCGAGGATGCGAAGTCCTTTGCGGTTCTCAGATTGGCAGGGCTGGGTTCAGTGCCAGACTGGGAAGAGTTTGCTGCCTATTTTCTTCTGCACATTGTTGTCGCTGGGGTGCATGAGGTAGTACTTGATCATGTGACCAATGTGGTAGTGTGAAAATCACTCGTGGATTGAGTTGAGTCACTCATACCGAATCACTCGTACGATACGAATGAATGAATCGTACGAGTATTATGATTAAGGTTGAAGTTAAACTGTATCCCAAGATTGAATCATATCTTCGTACGATTCAACGATTAGGGTTAAGGTTAGACTAAGGTTGAATCGTATCTTTGGATTGAATCGTACGATACGGATGAATCGTACGTGATTGCCGAATCGCTAAAGCATCGAAAATACAGCAAACAGCAAGCTGCTGTTTGGTCACACTTCTTCTTTTCTTTAACATTTAAAACACCCTATCATGCCTTCATACCATGATGATATCTATCTTAGCTAAGTCTCTAGTGTATATTACAGTGTATTCACCTGTTATATCAACACTACACTAACTGCCTATTGCACACGTGCTTTTTACAGTTTATCAGACCCAAGACTTTCGATATTACGACTCCAAAGACTCTTCCAAAGACTATTCCGATACAATACTTTGATGCGGATTCGGAAGACCATTCCGGAATTAAATCAAGAGCTGCAACGGACGTACGTACCAATAGATACGAAGCTCCGAAGAAAGGAATGAAGGATCATACCATTCCTACATACCTATCGTAAGGTACGCTTTCTACGTATGGATCGTAAGAGGTCCGAGGATCGCAAGAGGTCCGAGGATCGTAAGAGGTCTAAGATACTATTCAAGAATACCTCACGAAGAATAGAGATGTCACGAGT